CCAAACTTGCCGACGAAGGTGTCGAAGAAGCATCGCCCCTCGGTGTAGTTCGACTCAGTGAGATTGTGCTGGACGAGAACATGGTTTTTGATGTTCTATAGCATAGTGGAGGAAGGAGGCTGGACGACGGTTTCAGTGAAGGAGACACGGCCGACGGAATAAGTGGAGGAAAAAGACTCGCCATTAGAGAGATCGGCGTCATGCAGGGGGTTAGTATCCATGGGAACAGTGGAAGGTGAGCGCGCGGCAACGCCAATCGCGGCAGCGGGAAGGAAAGCGAACACGCAGCAACCTAGATCGCGGCGGTGGGGCAAAGCCGAGCGCGGCGGCGGCGGTTGCGGGGAGGGCAGTGCAGGAGAATAGACCTAAGCGTCTGGTACTGAAAGGACCTAGGATGTTGCCTAGAGGGGGGTGAATAGGCGTTTCTGAAAAAATCAACACCTTTAAAAGCGGAAACGATTAGTAATAGGAGTTTCCAAAATGGAAACTCCAAATCAGAGTAATACCACCCCTCACAAGTTAGCCACAAAGTATATAAAAGATACTAGATAAACCTAGGGAGCCAAACAGCGGCAACCAAAGAGTTGAATCAAAATGCACTAGTCTGTTAATGTCGGAAGTCCCGACGTTTGGGTCGAGAACTTCGGCGTGTCGGAAGTCCCGACGATTGGGTCGAACTTCCGGCGTGTCGAAGTCCCAACAGTTTGAGTCGAAACTTCCAACGCAAAAGCTGTCAACACTTCCGACCCCTACGGGAAATGAACTACAAGTGCTAAAATGAACTTTGTGATGCCGATAACTTACAAACCCACTTCCTAGTGGTAAGGTAAGGTGTTGGGTCACTCTCTTGACGTTGATAAGCCACCAATCCGTAGATCGAGTCCCAAACCCTAAGAAATAGCTAGAGAGAGGAGACAACCAAATACAAGTAATTTCGAGCAAATCACAACAACAACAAGCACGCTGGAGACAAGAATTTATCCCGAGGTTGGCAGACCCACAAAGGAGCTCCCTCGTCCTCGTTGTTGAGGTGACCACTTTGGTCGGAGTCTCTTCCACCTCCTTGCCTCACTCAAGGATACCACAAAGGTCACTTGAGTTTCTTCACTAGAAAACAAGGGTAATACAAACTTCCCAAGGCTCTTCCACAAGATGGAAGCTCTTGGGCGACGCCTACGCCGGCTGGGGGAAAATCCCCAAGAGTAACAAATGCAAATCAAACCGGCTTGACGAAGAGATCAAGTGCTCAAGCTTGCTCAAAGTGTTTTTCTCACTCAATCCACTCTCCAATCACTCAAACCCTTTGGGAATCGAAGTTGGAAGCAAGGGAGTGAAGAGAGGGAGCCTAGAATGCTTGGGGGCTGTTTGGCCGAGTGTTTTGTCGCAATGAAATGAGTGGGCAACGGTTAGAATGAAGGAGACGGGTATATATACACCAAGGCAAAATCTAACTGTTCGGATCTCGTCGGGAGTTCCGACGCAGATCTCGACTTCCGACGATGAAGAAAAAACACTGTTCACGCAAGGTCAAAAGTCCACTCAAGACGATATTAACGTCGGAACTTCCGACAAACGTCGGACTTCCGACGGTCGGAACTTCCGACGAACGCCGGGACTTCCGACGCACACGCAGTCAGCCAGTCGATAGAACCATCGATGCCGGGACTCCGGCTTGGGTCGGGACTTCCGATCGTCGGGAGTTCCGACACTGCGTCGGGACTTCCGACGACCACGATCACCACAGCAGGCAGTGATCGAGTCAAGACTTCCGCAAGAGTCATGACTTCCGGTTGTCGGGAGTTCCGCTACGTCGGGACTTCCGACACCGACGATCCATGAAAAAATTATTCTATGTGCTCGTGAAGTGCTAGAGTGTCTCTCTTTTGATTTAATTATTATGCTTGAGCACTCTATCTTCCTCATACCACCTAAACTTGCATCCCTCTTAATAGTACGGCATACCTATTAACTCAAGATCAAAAGAAAAACGAAATTAAACCTTTTGAGTTGATCTTCTTTGAAATTGATGCCGTGTCTTTCAATCTTCATCAAGTGAGGGTGTCAACATGTCAATATTGATCTTGTCACTTGAGCATAGCCATCTTGAGCACGTGACTTGATTCCATTCATCAAATATGAATAACTCCAAAAGTATCAAGTCACTTCTATCAAACATTCCAATAGTGATTTGATCCTCCACATAAACATGGCCATCATAGCTTGATTAGTACCTCAACTGAATGCAAGTACTTCCTTCTTCACCCTAGCTAGGTTCTTGACCGCCAAGCCGTAAACTTGCCCTTCACCCTTGCTTAGTACCTCAAGCCTTTCCTTGCTATCTTCACCATCTCAAGCCATCAAGTCACATCTTGTGTTGAATCATCCATTCATGTATTGTCATCTTTTCATTTTCAATTTAGCAAGCTTCAAATATGAGACCATTCCATATGCAATCCCTTATGTCTCATTAATTGACTCTTATCGTGCTTGCTTTCACATAGATCATTGAAATCCCACAATAAATAAGCATTTGCATGAATTCCATTTGCATTGTTGTCTTGTGCTTGAACTAGATTGTTTATATAACAATACATCATTTTGGCTTTATACAATTTCATCAAGTATCTGTGAGATAATCAACTTCCTGTCTAACACTTAGTAAACATGTTAGTCCTTTAATCGTGTTGTCATTCAATCATCCAAAACTCACTAAAGGGCTAGATGCACTTTCAGGTACCATGATAGAGAGAGCAATGGAGCCAACGACTCAATCTGTATTGATCTCAGTGTATTTGTATAAGCTACAAAGGCGAACAAGCTAATCGCCAAATCTTGAGGTGCGACTACGCCTTGCCGCACCGTGACGTGGGCGACATCGTGGGCTGACCAGCGCGGTTGCATGGGCTAAGCAGCGCGGGAAAAACCTCAGCTAAGCTATGAACTACAAAATACAAATTACACTTTATCAAGCAAAAGCATCGGAAGACTTGACTAGACTGCGTTAACACAAATCTACCTCCTACTGACAAATGTTCTCCTTTCCAATCACTTGATTACTTTTCAGTTAGGTTTTTGTCAGCATAAGTTTGGCACTCAAAGTTTGGCATCATAGAACATCATACATCAATAAGTACCACAATCGACGAAAACATTACCCAATCCTCAAACCATTTCATAACACGACAGACATAAATTCTATAGGCAGACACCCACACTCGTACAAATCCATACAACCCCGAATATTATGCCATTCGGATCTATCAAAAGGAAAGGTTGGCAACGCTTAGAGAAGAAATGGAATCGATGCCCTTGGAGTTGCGCAGCGTCTTGAGGACGGTCTTGTAGCCTGTGGTGTACTTGCCGCTCTTCCTCACCACCATGCAGCTTCTTGTTGATGCTCTCTCATGCTCTTCTTCTCGCATGATCGAAACAATCGGGGAACCAACCACCATCATAGGAAAATTCACCTCGAAATGGAAGGAATAGAGGACTAGCACTGGCCGGTGAGGAGGGGGAGGGGCGGGCGCGGATCCGGGAGGGTGCCGCCAAAGGAGGAGGGAGGTAGGGGTGGCGGATCCAGGCGGGCGTCGCCCGGTGAGGAGGAGGGGCGGGCGGGACGGGCGGATCCGCCACTAGATCCAGCGCCCTTGGCCATCACATGGATCCACGCCGCCGCCACGCCGGGGTTGCAGCGCCGAGGGCCTCCTGCCGCCGTCCATGGTGCGGTGGGCGTAGGAGGAGGGAGGGAGGGAGGTGGCGGGGCCAGATCCGGAGGGTAGGGGCGGCGCAGCGGCCGGATCCGGGGAGAGAGAGGGGGCGGCGCGGCGGCCGGATCGGGGGAGAGAGAGAGGGGGTGACTAGGAAGGACAGGGAGGGGCCGGCCGCCGGGGAAGAGAGGGCGGCGCCGGGGAAGGAGAGGGAGGGGCCGGCGCCAGGGAAGAGAGGGAGGGGAGGAGCCGGCCGGCCAGGATCCGGGGAGCGAGCGAGCTGGGGCGAAGTCCGGGGGGGGAGCGAGCTGTGGCGAGAGTGAGGGGAGGGTGGGAAGCGGAGGGGATTTTTTTATGCGGCGTGTTTATTTTTTCATCTTTGCCGAGTGTTTGTTCTTGACACTCGACAAACCCCTTTTTGCCGAGCATTTATTTTTGACACTCGGTAAACCCTTCTCTTTGCCGATTGTTTTTTTAACACTCGACAAACCCTCTATTTGCCGAGGGTTTTTATTTTGCCGAGTGTTTTTAGCACAGCACTCGGCAAAGATTTTGTTTACCGAGTGTCCGAGGAAATGCACTCGGCAAACATAAAAACACTTGGCAAATTTGAGGTATCTGGTAGTGGAGGCTCAAAATCGTGTGATTCATCAGATACTGGCATATTGCTGATGCAGGTGGAGGTCCTTTCTTTCCGCTAATGATTCAATCTGAAGCAGTGTCACACCAGAGCTGTACACATCAGAGTCAATCGAACACATGCATGTCAAAACTCTACTTGATTCGTGCAAATTTTTTGAGATGACCACTCGAAAAAAGACTCCAAGGATATAAAAGGCGAACTTCTTCCCGGCGTGTGGTGAAATGAGACAATCATGCTTCATCTTTCCTCTGCAAGTGTGTGTGCAACCAACACCAAGACAATTGATTAGTGGCACTGCAAACCCGAACAAGAACAACAGTAGGAAACAATAAAAACAAACAAAATGGTCATACGTCTGCATGCTTGCTTTAGCGAAGAAAACGCATATGGTTGTTTGTCCTTATGGGGCCGGGTCGTTTGTCCTTATCATACAGTGGAGGTTGCTGTCAAATGAACATCATGTAATGGGAAGATTCCATTCGGTCGCTTTGAAAATGAAATTAAGATAATAGTAGTGTTTCATCGGCGCGCAAAAACAGTTATTACTGCACTCTGAAGTCCAAAGAGGATTCCTACATGGTTTGTTTTATTTGCTGTATTGTTATACTTGTAGACTTTGGTTTATCGCTCCTATTTGAGGTGATATTACAATGTGCCCCCAGCCTTCCGCTGGGTCCATCCACCAGAGGAAGGGGACCCTCCCTTCCCCACCCGTCAGGGAAATCAAGCGTGGAGCCCAGGTGCTGGCGCGGTTGGTGGAGGACGAAGAGGAGCTGGTCGAGTTTTTCGGTCAATTGTGGGTTATCGATTCCCCACCTCCACGTTCTAGGGTTCCATTAGCTTCCGACGTCGCCGCCACTCTTAACCCCGGGAACCTCTTCTGGATCCGGAAGGAGTTGGTCCGCTCAAAGAAGATCTCACCGGTGGATTGCTTTCCTGTTCGGAGATCAGATCGATTTGATGGTCCGCTGGTGAAGCTCAGTTTCGCGAAGCACATCTGGGGCAGAGGTGGGGAGAAGGATTCGTACTCTGCTGTGCTCAAGCAGAATTCCATGGCAGAGGGCGGGCGCTGGGTTTGGCAACTGGAGCCGCGTCGACCAGTTCAGCAACGCCCTCCCCAACCACCGCAGGGCTGGGTGGATCAAGGGCGGAGGAACCAACCGTATAATCCCAATCCCATTCCACCTCCCCATCCTCAACCTCAGTATCAACAGCGGCAGCAACCACAGCCCCAGCCTCAGCAGCGGTAGCAACCACCTCCCCAACAACCATGATAACAAGCTAAGCGGGGTGCTACTCAAGGCAGAGGACAGGGCAATCAGGAGTCTGAACTCCCTCCTTTCAGCATTGATCCAAGGTATCGCAATCTGACCTGATACAATTGTGGAGAACCAGGTAACTTTGTAGGAAACTGCACTAGAGCGAAGATATGTTTCATCTGTGCTGTCCCTGGCTACCATATGAATGTGTGTCCCATGTGGAATTCTGATCACCCTGTGGCAGCCTATGTTGGAAGTGCTAGTCTAGGTTTGGGATTTTATCACCTTGAGGTGCCATCTGTTGAGTCAACTCAGTGGCTAAATCTAACCAATTGTGGTGTGGTGAAAGTCAAGACTGGCCAGATTTCCCTAGCAGAGTTGGAGCAGGAATTATCTGAGATATATTGCAAGGAATGGCCTTGGCAGATTAGGGAATTGGAAGAGGGAATGTTTCTGGTGAGGTTTCCTCACAAAAAGGTCTCTAACATCAAGAATTACCCCTCCTTCAATCTTAGAAAAGATGGGGTGCAAGTTGAGGTGCTTGAATGGATTGGTGATTTGAAACCGTATGGGGAGTTGCAAGAGGTCTAGGTCCAGGTGAGGGGTATACCTCCTAGGTGGTGTCATTGGAAGGTCTTTGCCCAAGTTGCTTCGGGATTTGGTTTATTGGTTGATGTGGATTGGGCAACTGTGTTTAAAACATTCTATGAGACTGTAAGGATCAAGGTGGCTTGTAGAGAGGCTTCTAAGATCCCTCGTGGGAGATTATATGAGATGAACAAGAAGCTGCATTTAGTGGACTTTGAGGTTGAGACTGATGATAACAAGGGGAAAGGAATTGCTACTGACAATGGAGATGATGGGGGTAATGATGGGCACAATAGGGATGATGAGGCTGATGATTTGAGTGACACTGAGAAGGATAAGCAGCCAACCTTGGGAGACAGTAGTAGCTTTAAGACTCCAGCCCCAAGCACTAAGCCGAGCCACACTTCTGGTTACAAGATATATAATGTTGGGATAGAGATTCTGGATGTTATGCAACAGGACAAAATGCTGGTGCAGCATATGAGTCCTTTGGTATTATCTACAAAGGACAAGTTGACTAATGTGGGAAGAGAACAGGCTGAATCTACTAGTTTAGTATTCCAGCCAGCTGAACAGAGGTTGATACAAGCTTACTAGGGGAAAGGCTTAAGCCAATAGAGCCTATAGGTGGTGCTATTCACTGTGTTGACACAGGTCTTATCAATCTGGAAGGGTGCAACAATTTTGACTGTTGGAAAACTCCTGATGCAATGATGCAGAGGGGATCTGACTGTCATATTGTGGCGAACAAAGCTCTGCATGATATGCTGGATGAATCTAAAAAATCTAAGTGGGAAGAGTTTAGGAAGTTGGCTAAGGCTGGAAGTGATACTGCTGAATGTTCTTTTCTGTCGAAACAAATGGAACTGGAGGACTCTGAAGCAGAAGAGGAAGTCTGTGAGGAAACTGAGTTAATGTCTCTGGATACGGATATCACTTCCCAGAAAGTAGTCAGCTTGGATAAGGAGACTGAACTGGTACAAGATAAGGGAAACATGAAGAAGAGGAAGAAGCAGTGGGGGCCAACACAAAGGGTAGATAGACCCAGAAGATTTGCTGAGGATGGGAAGACTGTCTTACAAAGGGCTAAGGAGTTGAAAGAGCAGAAAAATTTATGTAAAGGTACCATTACTACACAATCTTTTGCTTCTGAAAGCAATTCTTCATTAGTTGATAAAGGAAGTTGTGTTAACGTATCTCTAGGAGAAAATAATGAGGCACTTAACCGTGTTATTGATTGCATTAGAGATAAGGAAATAGCTTGTAGAGCTAATTTTGAGGATAGGAATCCGAAGGTTAACCTCCCTGCTGATTTGGAGGTGGACTTAAATATTGATTTTTTTCCACCTTTAGCAGTTTCGAAAAGTAGTGAATTTTCTCCTCTTATTAAAGGAGAAGGGGATGCTAACTGTTCTTGGGTAGAAATTGTGAACAAGGGTAGTAAACCATCTTCATCTAATGTGGAAAATTGTAGCACCCGGTTTTAAGAATAAAACGAGATACACACCATATGTGAGCCCAGGAAGTCAAATCTCACCTATAGCTACAAATAAGGATAATATCAAAAGACAATGCTCAATATATAACGTACTTAATATAAAGAATATAACCTTAGATAGCAAATAGTAGAAAGACAACTCCGATCTTCGGGTGAAGACTCCAATTCCACATGGACAACGGACTGGTTGATCATAAGCCTAATTCGTCCAAACTCTAGCAATCTGGTATCTATTCGGAATTTTTTCAAAGATTTAAAAAGTAAAGCAGGCGTAAGTACATGTCGTACTCAACAAATATAACATGAGATTTATGAGGCTCAAAAGACTGACACTGATTAACTGCGATTAGCTTTTAATGAGTCATCTTTTAGAAATTGGGTGACAACAAGTTTATCACAAGTCCATAAACACATGATCAGGTAAACATGGATAATGAATAGCATAAACAATAATCATTAGTGAAAATCTTTATCATCAGTATCATCAGTGTTCATCATCTATTCCGTAAATGTTCCAAGGCCGCTCGTGACCGTGAGCACGGCTGTTATAATAGTTTTACACTCTGCAGAGGTTGTACACTTTCACTGTGAGTCGTGATTTACCCTTTCGCTCGAGGTGATAAGTCTCGGAAGGTCGGCAGGGTTCACTATGAAGCTTTTCAAAGGTTCGTCTAACAAGTTAGGGTCGCTATGTTTCTGTGGCCTATGAATGTAGGGCTTCCCTTCTGATAGGCATAATAACGCGTAGCCTATACACTGATGGACAAAGGCCGCACTATATTCAACCCGGAACACACCACTCTTGCGCCATGTAGGTAACCACTAACAAGCTAGAAAAGGTCCTCATACTGAGCTAAAGCCAGAGCTATGTTGCCCTCACAGCCGTACTGTAAGCCCTGGATGATTACTTACAGATAAGTCCTTAGGGAGAGGAATCTAGAGCACCATAAAAACAGCCTAATGTTGTAGCCCTCTGATTTCATGTTGCTAAAAATCATCTTTTAATGTTTATTGCATATTCCATTAGTCAAGTTACAAGATCATGGCTATAGTTGAGCACTAGCATCATACTACCCAATGCAATACCTCATAAGTGTCAAGGCACAAGGTAACAAAGCACTAGAAAATCCTTAGTGGCAGTCAATGTAGACATATGCAGTATGAATTAAACGATTAAAGATGTATAGGACAACAAGGAAGATCATATGCTATATTTGTCTTAAACTTAGATCTTTCTTCTAATCCAAATCTTCAAAGATCTGCTTCTGGATTCACCACGTATAACTTACCGATTGGACAAGATCATAAAGCACCACACAAGCATCCATATAATCATACATGAAGCAAACAATAGATCTAAATTAGAATAGTACACCAAATATAGAAAAATAAGTAAAAGAGTTTGAAATACGATCCTACGCATCGCTACAAACACACAGTCGCGAAAAGCATACTAATCAGAGCTTCGGTGAAAAAGATACATCTACCGATAAATTGGCTTAATACGTGGAAAAAAAACTATAAGCTTCACTTATTTTAACTATATAAATTCTTATATATAAGATATTTTATAAAAATTATAAATTGAATTAAGTCAAATTCAGATGTGATTTATAAAACTAAAATAAAACAAGTCATATTTTATTTATAAAATCTAGTTGCATAACTATTAATCAAGATATGATTTAAACCATGAAATTTAGGAAAGAGTAATATGATAAAACTGTTACTAATGCGTAGATCTCGTCGCTATGAATCTAACACAACTTGAATGGATGAAAATGGAGCTAAAACGCAGAAGATATGAAATAAACAAGATTTTCTTTATTAAAATAATAGATTAAATCTAACCTTGAATTTTAAAAATTAAAAACATATCTAACAGTAGTATGAACACGTAGATTATGAAATTATGAACCTAACGCAAGTTGAACGGGTCAAATCGGAGTTAAAATGGAGAAGTTATGGCTAAAACAAAATCACTGGCAAATATGTAAATTAGTGAAAACGTATCTTGGATCTAAACTGAAGAAAGTACGTTTTCCAAAGAAGAAAATGTAATATGTTATTGCGCTATGGACCGCGGGTTGAGATCCAAATAGTTGCAAGGGGGTTTTTGCAAAAACACCAGCGAAGTGGTATCAAGCCTTATTGGTCATTAGATCTAGATTGGACGGTCTAGATTAGAACCGAGAGGGGAACTAGGGAACATATTGCCGGAACAGTGGCCAGGACGGTGGTTTTCATCGCCGGCGACGAGGGAGCTCATCGGTGCTCATGAAAATGGCCCTAAAGGCCATGGCTGGACCTGGGGATAGCACGGGAAGAAAGAGCGGGCGACGACGAACTCACCAAGGCCAAGGATGACGGCGCGGAGCGGATGACGGCGGCGCTTCGCTCGGTGGGCGACGACGACTCGGCGGTGCTAGGTTGCGGTGGGCGGCTGCAGGCGCTTGTGCGATGCAGCGGCTTGCAATCGAGTTAGGCGAGGGAGGAGAAGCTCAGGTGCTATTTATGGGACCGAAGAGCGTGGGGCCCACAGCAAGCAAGGCGGGGCGGTGTGGGACTCCCGGTGACGGCGGCAGCGGCGGAGTCTAGGCAGGATACGTGCTGGAGAAGAGGACGGAGCTGACAGGCGGGCCCGGGGTGGCAGCAGGGCAAGCGGAGAAAGGAGAGGCAAGGGCGCAGCCTGCTTGCTGAGCGGGCGAAGCAGAGTTGGGCCAGCCTACTAAGGCTTCGGCCGGGGTGGCCCATAAGCGAGAAAGGAGGGAGAGCAGGAAGAAGTGGGCCTGCGGGGTGACGTTGGGCCGTGGTGGTGGGTGAGACTGAGCGGCCGCTGAGAGGAGGTGGGCCAAAACCAGAGAGGGGGAGTGGGAGAGGAAGTAATTCCTTTTCCAAATCTTTTTCCTATTTTGTTTTCAAAGCCAAATTCAAATGTAAATCAAATCAAATTCAATTAGAGTTTAAAATACACTTTTCAACTCAAATAAAAATGATCCATTTTAGTAAGTTTTCTAAAAATAAATTATACAACCTTTTAAATCCTTTTATTTTCAAATTTTCTTTTCTTTTATTTCAAAGCCATTTTTAATTTCATTTGCAAAAGCAATTTCAACCATTTTAAATTTTCAATCAGAGCCACTCAACTAAATAAACCAAATGCAAGGGCATGTATGCTCAAACATGTTGCTACCTTATGATGAATTTTAATTTAATGAAAAATTTTATTTTCCTATGTTTTCATGAGCACAAAAATTCAGAAATAAATTATTTTAAACCTATTTTTGAAAGAGTCAAATTTTAGGGTGTTACAATTCTACCCCCTTAAGATGATCTCGTCCTCGAGATTCGGAAAACGTCGACTAGGACCGTCTTTGGATTCTTCTTTACTTTGTATTTCCATCGTCTTTATAAGGATTCCACTTTACTCTGCATGCCTGTTAACCTTACTCCAAGTAACTTACTAAACTGATTTCAAGATTCTGAAAGGTACTCCAAACAATACTCAGGTATCTCCAGTTACTAGGCCACCTTTTGTTTTTAGTCCATACTTATTAGGCCTTCTTACTTTCTTGGCCTAAAGTAGGTTCTATTACCAACTTTAAAACATTAATGATTCTGATTAAGTTGCTCGAACTTAGAATACAATTCTTAGTCCTTGGTGTCACCCGAACCTTATTAGCATAATTATCCGTTGTTATGGGCATTGGCCATGAGTTTGCTCCTTGAAGTGATAGCACTTCTCCAAGTCATAATCAATTTTATTTCAACGAGGATAACACAAGCTCAAGACCAACTTAGTGAAGATGTCTTGTAGATTCTTGTGATCCTCCTAGATGTCTCTTTTACTTCAAAAAAAGATATTACTTCCATGCTCCACGATGGATAACTCCAGATAACATGTTAGGTAGTTCAACTCATGCTTCCTTAGTTGACTTAATAAACAAGGTACTACTTTTCCTTCTCACACATCTTTGGGTACCACTATGCTTCCGCTGCGTAAACTAGAACGTAAGATACTTCACTTTGTAAATTCTTCAAGTTGACTACCCCCTTAAGAAAAGATCAACAGGATAGCTTGCACCTTCTTCTAGATGGATTAACTAGCATAAGGACATCCTGACATCGCAAAGAAACTCGCGTGCAGGGGTAAGAACAAGAAATCTAGAATTTCCTCGCTAGTAGAAAAACAGCAGCGCAGTGAAACGGATGTAACTCTCATTCTGTTAATTCAATGAAGTTGTAGCTTATACCGTTGGAATGGTTATAAAATTCTCCACAACGTTCTTATAGAACACTTTTCCAAATTCTACAGTTAACTTGGTCTAAAACAGTGCACAAGAGAAATTGTTCCAGGTTCCAAACAGCACAGATGCATCGCCTTGTGATTTTTATATCTCCATAACCAAAATAGCTATCAGGCTGATTCTTACACTCAGAGAAAGATATTGAAGTCTACTATTGTCCAGAATTTTCTCATGATTTATGATCGTCCAAAATCAGAGATATAAAGCAAAGAGTGCAGGCTGCTCCAAAAAGACAGGATAGAGGAAAACAGAAGAAAACCATAACCCAACTATTTATTTTACTAATCCTTATACCTTAGCCCTATAAACTAAATGAAATTATGGGAACAATCCTAAGACTCATCTTTAGATTACGCAAGAAGGTGATGAGGGATAGTTAAAAAAGCATATCAAATCAAGGAGTGAAGATGTGAACAAAGACTTCAAAATAAGCAACAAGGTAGAGATGAATCGCAAGGGTAGAGATATAGTAGAGAAGAAAATATCAAGGTTCATAAAGCAAGAGTTTTTTTAGCAACTTTAAACCTTAAAATGACTAGTGTTTACTAGGCTTGCATCCTAAACTCAGCATTACTTCGATACCACTTTGTAGCACTCGGTTTTAAGAACAAAATCAG